GAGTGCAAGCTAGCGAAAAGAGATTTCTCAGAAAATGGAAAGGCATAGACAAAGAAATGAAGACATAAGAAAAGAAGTGAATGTATAGCCGATAGGACAACAACTACCTGAACTCTGCAATGAAGAATAATAATAAAGGATGATGCAAAATTTTAGAAGTGGAATTAAATATACACCAAACAGAACAAACAGAAACTCAAAAGGTTGCACAAAAGCTGACTCACGTATTATTGCCCTCCAAAATTGTACATCGAGACTGTATCATTAGACCGATAGTATTTTGTGGCGCAGAGAGAGACAAAGAGGAGGTTAGAAGTTTTGGAGATCAAAATAATACTATAAACTTAACCAACTTCAGAGAAAACGAAACATCACCTTCTCAGAAAGGAATTCTCCTGGTCCTTCGATTGGTTGGTCATAAAGTGAGAATAGACGACGACATATTGTTGGGAGGAACCTCTTGACAATAAAATGCATGATCTAACAGCAATAGCAAGAAGGCCAATAATCACTAAATAAATATTGCTCATTTATTTACAAAACTACATTACAAAGATTCAAAGTAAATTAACAAATATATATCCAATTTACCCCTAGAACACCGAGATGTTACTAGGTAATGCTGGAGAACTCCTTAATATTTGAATATGAGGTAAGCACAACAATTGAGCATCAAGTAAAGCAGTTGTAGACTGTAATAGAGAGAAATGTATCAACTCCATCCACATGTTTTCTACTTTCTCTTTTGCTTTTGGTAGGTGATAGGTCTTCTTTGATTCCTTATGCTTTGTCTCAGATCTAGTTCTTGTCTAAGTTCTTTTACCACATGCGTTTTTTCGTAATTGTGTACTCTTTACAGTTGTCTCATCTTTTGTCTTATTCACTACATACCTGGTGATCTGATAGCATTTTTGTGGTGCTGCCTGCTTTCTAACAACAAATTTGGACTGATAATTTATTAAATAAAGCTGAACATATACTGTTTAATACCATACAGTACATGTTATTGTCCTTTAGTTAAAGGAGGGATAAAATCACATCCAACAACATTCTAGTGCAAACGTGAAGATGATATTATATAAACATACATAAAAAATAAGGTCTTCAACAAGGATGCATTGTCTCACCCAAAGGTTTCAAAGTCTATGGATAATCTATGTTCAGGAAAGGAGTAGAAACATTTTGTCACCATAGTTCGTAACAATAAACAGTTGGAGATGTGGAATAGAACAAGCAATTTAAAGAAGATAACAAAGGTTATTTTTCACTCGACCATCTATTCTTCTCCAAAAGCTCACACTGAATATCGAAAATCAGGGTCTACAAAACTATTATCAGATCAATAGTATGTTATGGAGGCGAGACATGGGTGACAATAAAAAATACAAAAAGAAAGCTGGAACTCTTTGAAAGAAAGGTCTTATGGAAGACATTTAGACCTATTAACGAAAACTGAGTATGGAGATTCAGATACAACCATGAACTCTAGCAACTGTTCAAAGAAGCACCAATCTCAGAATTCGTTAAACTTCAAAGACTTCGATAAGCTGGTCATTTATGAGAATGAAGGTCGAAATGCTGACGTAAAGAGCCCTGGACAGGAAAATGCAGGAAGCAAGACCAAAATGAAGGCCACGGGAAAGGTGGGAGAATGGAGTGGCAGCGGTCGCGCAAAATTTGGTTGACCTGAGAACTTGGTAAAGATCGGCGCGTAAGGTTGGAGGCATAGTTTAGAGAAATCTAAGGCTCCATTTGGGCTGTAGTGCCATTGGAGCGAAAGAGAGATCTTTGGAGGTGACCAAATCTTGATTTACCTTGGATTTGTCAATGGAATTTCTTCTAAAAATCAAACCTAACAAATATTAGATCTGTAATTTTCAACAGGTGCTTACGAAAGCATTGCAAAAGAAGGCATATGTTAAAATAATCGATAAAGTATCTTTTACGGTATATTACATATTGCTTTGAAAGATGATTTCAAACATCTTTTCTCTATTGCCTTCATATTCGATTTTGACCGTACATACTCATCTGCATCTGTGGTATGTATCACTAACTATGTAAGGTACACAGTTTCACACCGATCTCGAACGATTAACTGTGGTAGAACTTTACTCGACATACAATTACTTCGTGGTTTGTCATTTCCCTCGAGGAGGTGTCATTGACAATATTTTTTGGTTTTCTGTTTGTAGTAGGTCCACATCATTTACCGCGTAAAGTAGATTTGCTCATCTGGAAGATACCTAGGCTTTTAGTCATCAATATCTAGGGGAAACATCTCGGAAAAATATATGCACATTTAAAAAGGGTCTTTTGATTGCCAATATCGTACATAGATCATCATGTTAACATCTCCACACATCGACAGCTAGTTGGAGTGTCTCCACACTCCAATAAGTCATATTAAGCGAAGATGGTTATAGAATATTCGAAAAATTCAATAAGAAGAATTGTTGAATTGAAAGTTATTTGAAAAAGTAGGAGAAGAGGACCAAAGAAAGCTTGAAAACTTGGTGGAAGACTCAAATATCTCAGTAAATATTATGTGCATATATAAAAAGGATCTTTTGATAGCCAATATTGTACCTAGATCATTATGTTAGCGTTTGCACACATCAACAGCTAGTTGGAGTGTATCTACACTTTAACAAGATATATTAAGGGAAGATGGTTAAGGAATGTTCGGAATATTCAATATGAAGAATTGTTGAGCTGAAAGTTCTTTGGAAGAAGTAGAAGACGAATGCCAAAGAAGATTTGAAAACGTAGGCAGGACATTTCTGTGAAGGTGATTGATATTGATATGGTCCAAGATATAAACTTTGTACCCAAGAAAAACTGAATTAGGAAACCGATCCCGCATAATGATGACAAGGACAAAGACAATGGTGATCATACTCCAACAGCTACCTACAAATTTAGCATTATACATTGTAAATGTACCAACCAACGAAAAATCACGATGAATATTTTAGATGTGCTGGATCAGGATAAAGTGATTACAATAGTTTTTCAAAGCAGGCCCTGACGAAATACCTATAGACATAATACGATTAATAGAAGAGCAGCAAATTGGATAATTGGTCGACTTATTCAATACAATATACAGTACAGGAATCATTCCCAATCAGAGATTGGCTGATGTCAACATTCATAACATTCCAAAAAAACCAAATGCAAAAGAATACCAAGACCACCGGAATACTCAAAATATTTTTAAAAATTGTACACCGGAGAATACACAATAAACTTGAGCAGGACATAAATGACACACAATTTTGATTTAGAACTGCACTGGGAACGAGGGAAGCCCTGTTGGCTATGAATGTACTTATGGAAAGGTGCATGGATGTTAATCAGCCAGTATATATGTGTTTCTTGGATTACAACAAAGCCTTCGATAAGGTGAGACTTATCGAATTATTTGAAAAGAAAAACTTAGATATAAGAGACGCGGATCATTAGTGCTATTTATTATAATCAGATCGCTGTGGTAAAAGAGAACAACGTCTTTTCAAATGAAATACAGATTGAGAGGGGCGTCAGGCAGGGCTGTGTCCTGTCTCCTACTTTGTTCAATTGGTATTCAGAGGAAATAATCCAGAAAGCACTAAAAGAACTAACTATGGAAATAAAAGTAAATGGCCGACCAATCAATAATATACGGTTTGTCGACGACACTAATTTATTAGCGGAATGTCTTGAGGATTTACAACAAATGGTTGACAATGTGGTAGAAGTCAGTGAAGTAAACGGACTGTCCCTAAACACAAAAATGACACAATTTATGGTAATGACAAAAGCACAACAGAGCCAAAAAACATAACGATACATGGAGACCCAATTAAAAAAGTTGAAAAATATAAATATCTGGGTACAATAGTTAACGAAAATAATGAGTACACAAGGAAAGAATAGAACAGGCAAGAAATTCTTTCAACAAACTGAAAAAAAGTACTCTGCAGCAGGGATATTTCAATTTCTTTAAGGATAAGACTTCTGAAATGCTACGTGTTTACCGTATTATTTTATGGGGTGGAGGCTTGGACATTAAAGAAAGATGTTTCGGACATATTAGAAGCCTTAGAGTTATGGGCCTACAGAAAAATATTAAGAATAAGTTGGGTAGATAGAGTTACTAATGTCGAGGTTTTGAGAAGAATGGGCAAAGATAAAGAGGTTTTAAATACAATTAAAGTCAGAAAACTGCAATATCTGGGACATGTCATGAAGGGCGAGCATTATAACTTGTTGCAAGTAACAATGCAAAGAAGAATACATGGTAGAAGGAGTCGCGGAAGAAGGCGCATCTCCTGGTTAAACAATTTGAGAACTTTTTCACTTCTGCTGACCTCTTTAGAGCAGCGGTATCTAAAGTGCGAATTGCTATGATAGTTGCCAACCTTCTTAGAGGAGATGGCACATGGAGAAGAAGAAGAAAGCAGTCAAACTAATAAACGACAGAAGAAAGAAGAGTTAAAGATAGTGGATCAGAAGCAATCGTAACATCAAAATAGCAATTCTAGATCTAACTGCGTCATACATTTTCTTCCCTTTAAGGTTTTTTGTGACTCTTTTACTGTGTGGTATTTTCTGCTTCTAAAATGTTTCGACAAAAAAGTAAGTAGTAATAATAATTTTTTTTTACCTATTGATGTTTGTAAAATAGACTTGGTCGACATTTTTTGTATGTTCTTTGTCGTTTGGATACGTCACGAACCGCCAGGAACCTTTTTGTGAATGTTTAAGCAGTAGTTAGGTTGGAGACCGCATTGTAAGTGTCTTGTTTGTGAATGTCAGAACGATTTATGTGAATGTTTATATTATTATAAGTCTTAATGATAAATAACTGTAACTGTTTAATAACGCCCCCTTGTACATTTAACGATTGTTTAGTCCGGAAAATAGCTCCGTTGGAGGAAGTTCGACAGTGCACGGCAACCTCTTGCATTCGACTGGGAGTGCTGCCACCACGCAATCACCTCAGGAACCAACTTATGTGAATCTATAGCAAAACGTTGGTTAGTCAACAGCAGTGTTGGTGTTTTATCGATGTTTAGTTTAGAGTTTTATTTTTTGTTGATTTTTTTTATTTTTTTATTTACACACTTTTTACTGTATTACTTTGTTTTTGGTATATTTAAGTTCACATCAAAACTTTAGTTGAATGTCATGTAAAATATTGCAGCAATTATTGATTACCGACTAATAATTTTGCATTTGTGAACATAGTGGTGTCGTAGAAAATTATAAAATCCACTAATTCAATATATATTCATATCATTAACAACATAATAATTTGCTACATTGCCAGTTAAGATTCATGCATTACTAGAACAAAAAAAAAATAAAAATAAACTGAGGAGTTCGACAAAGTAATCATGTCTCCCCGTAACTATTTACTTTAGCACTAAAAGACGTCTTGGAACAATTTACAATGGAGTGTTAACAGAAATAATATCGATGGCCAGTACTTAAATTATTTCAGAAGCCTAAAAGACTGTTTCCCAATATTAACTAAACCATGGTAGGTTTCTCAGCAATAAAAAACCCAATACCTGGCGAAAGAATACCAGAATACCTCCTTGTTTGAAAGCTGGTCTGGTAATAATCTCAATTCTCACACATGTATGATTTTTGCCAGCCAAACAAAACTGGATTATAAACAAGAAAACAGCAGAAAGATAGTACCGACAGAGATGGAATGACTGTGATGATGCTGCAGAGTAACAAGAATGGATAGGAGAAATAATGACCACAATAAAGCAAAGAACATCGATAGAAACAAACATACTAACATATATAGATCAAAAAAGATGAAGGTCATATGGATATGTAAGAAAAACTAGCGACAGCAGATGGATAAGTAAGAAAAACTAGCGAAAGCAGATGGATAAAGATTATAACCGAATGAAGCCTCATAAGAAGGAGGAAAAGAGGATGATTCCGAAGATCCTGGAGGAACGAATTCGACGACGCCATGGAGAATGGGACAACAGAGAGAGAGAGGGAGAGAGAGAGGGAGAGAGAGAGGGAGAGAGAGAGGGAGAGAGAGAGGGAGAGAGAGAGGGAGAGAGAGAGGGAGAGAGAGAGGGGAGAGAGAGAGGGAGAGAGAGAGGGAGAGAGAGAGGGAGAGAGAGAGGGAGAGAGAGAGAGGGAGAGAGGGAGAGAGAGAGAGAGAGAGACACAGAGAGAGAGAGAGAGAGAGAGAGAGAGAGAGAGAGAGAGAGAGAGAGAGAGAGAGAGAGAGAGAGAGAGAGATATGGAAACGGTTGAGCGAGGGAAAGCAGGAAATACTGTAAAATCCCTGAATATATATACAAAACTCCCCATCCCCATGACGAATTCTATTTATTAGCAAGCGATTGGTGGAATTTAGAGCAATCTGGAGTCTTAGAGTTTGGAGTTTTACAGTCATTTTTAATCCTTTTAGCGAGAGTTTTTAATGCAAACAGATGATGTGTTAATTTAAATCCTTATATAACCAGAAAAAGTTAATGGTTTAAAAAATATTTGTACACCTACCTAAAAGCTGCAATAACCAAAATAAGGTATAAAAGTTTTTCAACACGATTTTTTAACAAAGACCTTAGACTAAGAGCTCTAATATATTACGTATTTTTTACCTTGTTCTACGAAATGGAAAGATACTGACGAACAAAAAGAAGATATAAAAAAATTAATAGTTCGAAATGGTGGTGTTTCAGAGGTAAATTGAAAACACAATGGTTTCAAAGAATCATCAATAAAACTAAACAGATGACACTAAAATGCAGAGACCTTGGGATATAAAATGTGTATCTAAAAGATGTGTGTTCAATCTTACAATATTCTTAATATATGCCCCAACAGAAGATGCCGAAGAAGATAGGAAGGATGAATTTTATGAATTATTTGACCAAAAGTATAAAGCTGCACCAAAACATGACGTCAAAATAGTGATGGGAGATTGCAACGCTAAACTAGCCAAGGTAGATTATTTAAGAGAAGTATAGCTTGGTAAGCATAGCTTGCACGACACAACAAATGATAATGGACATCGGCTAACACAATTCGCAATATCTAATAACATGATCGTTAAATCGACAAAATTCGAGAGAAAGGACATTTACTAGGTCACATGGGTGTCAAATGATGGAACAACACGAGATCAAATAGATCATGTCCTTATTGACGCAAGACACTCTAGTAGCAGTATTAATTCGCGAAGTATGAGAGGAGCTGACAGCGATAGCGATCACTTTCTCTTGAAATCTAAGTTAAGGACGCGATTATCAATACAGAAACTGAAACAACAAGAAAAAAGAGTTTGGTCAATTTAATAGGTAAGAGATTGACAAAGATAGCTCCAGAAGAAGTATAATGAAGAGTACAGAGCCTAAGCTAAAGTTTTTGAACCGTTCAGAAATGCAAGATCTGAAATGCAAGAAGAAGTGAAAGAAGAATCTTCTGGCTAAAGAACCAGAGGATATTTTGTTTCAAACAAATACTCTTCTGCGCCGCTCCTATATTGTAGGAATAGCTGTGTTTGCAGCTCTTTAATGTAAATTTAAATATAATTATGAATAACATCTTCATCTAAAGTTTTGGTGCCACATTATATTAATTTATAAAAAACGATTAAGCATGAATTATGAATATCTACTTTTATTTTTTAACAGTCCTGCATGACTGATTTTTTTTTATCCCAGCATGTATATTTTCCAAAAAATCATGACGAGATTCTAACAGCAGTTGACTTTTTCAGGCGAAAGAAAAAGTGTATACGATATATGGAAGCAGGAGATGGAAACGATGGTAACCAATCAGATGACAATCTAGGTAGCTGCGGCAGTATGGGCGACGCTCACACGCCCCCCGACGACGATAACGAGAGCCTCAATCAATCGATGTCCAGCCCGGGCGGCCTGTCAGCTCTGAGCAGCCTAACCAGCCCGGGCGGCATGGTGCTGCCTAGTCCGTCGACCAGCGTGGCCAGCCCCTCCGTGAGCGTGGCTAGTCCGTACATGCTCCAGAGCCCTTTGACGCCCCACGAGCTCTTAGATGTCAAGGTGCCACTGCCGCCCGTCTCGCACCAACACCAGCCTACGCGAAACCCCGTTGGGACGAACCCTCACGACATAAACAATCCTTTGAGTGTCAACCAATTGACGGGACAGTGCGTTAGGAACGATAATTCCGATGCCAACGGTAACAAAGAGACGCGCTCGATCATCAGCGTCACGTAGCCAATACTTAAAGCAGAAGGTCCCGAATCCTAGCCATGTCACTTTGCCCAATAATATTTTGAACCATTTGCTCCAGACCTAAGATGATGTGTGTTAATATTTGCGACTATAATTAAGGCAACTCATGGTCATCAGCACTTTTAAACATCAAACCAAGGAGAAAATCCTCTTTGGATATTATTTTTGTTCAAAAGTTCCAGCTATTTGATAGTCCAATATCATTTTTTCTTGAACCATTCTATACTATCAAAAGTAATTAAAAAATATTCATTATTCTCCACAATTTAGATATTTTTGTAGGTACATAATTGTCTAGTTGATGACCACAGAGTTGTCTTGAACCGATTATAGCATTTTCCCAATGTACGGTATTTAATAACTTGTTTTCAAAAAGTTTTACTTATTTTTTTAATTGACAGTTAACTAGTAGGAATGGAAAACTGTCTAACGTTACAGTTGGTCAAATGTAGCAATAAGTCTGAGGTTATGCTCGTTCTTAAACATGGGATATCTGATTTTTCCATGTTCTTCTGTTATGTTTAGTTCTTCATCAGTGAAACCCCACTTTTCAATGTGTTGCATTGAAACTTTTTTAAATGCATTTACTGGCAGTTTTTCCATATTTTTTTAGTTGCAAGATCACAATAAGGGAGAGGCTGATACAGTGGCCACCTTTAATTTAATATAAATCATAATATATTAATGAGTATCACCTCAAACAACATCAAAGCATTTGGTAAATTAAAAATGTACTCTAATCCCAAAAAATACAGGTTATGCCGGAGTAATTAATTTTGTTTTTTTTTTTTTAAATGTGATGCCGTGACGCCTTAGAAAGTTTACATTGTATTCTTGGCCAGAAGAAAAAACTTCCACCATTCGTGAGGATATGTCTTCGTCAGAAATTTCATCTACTTCTGAAAATAGACTAACATCGTCGGAATCCACAACATCAGACAATTCAATGTCACTGTTACTGTCATCACTGGGTATGCTTTTATTTTTCTTTGCATTACTTGTATTCGACTTGTTTGAACTATCAATTTTTTTACTGTTGTCTTAGCTATCTTAACTCTACTTTGCCTTGATATTCTTTCTGCTATTTCCGCTTCTATTCTTTTATAAATCGGTGTATCAATTAAAACTTCAATAGTCTTTTTTTCCTTTGTTTTTTTAATGGCAATAAGGTAGCTTTAGGGTATGGTTGCAGTAATACAGGGGAAATAAATCGATTTTCGGATGTGTCCTTGGAAGTTTCCATAGCTTCATAAGAAACAGTTTCCTTTTCAGGTGTTATTTCCGATGGATGTTTCTGATTTTTTTCTGGTATTTTATCTGGACAAGTTGATGTTGGATGAGGTTGAATGTCCATTTGTGGTATATCGCTAACATTTGAATTATTTGATTGTTGTTCTTATTGATCTATGTTTGGCATGTCTGTTTCGATTCATCATCATCATTGGCTTTTACAACTCTTCGTGAGTTTTGCCGCGTTTATTGCCTTCCATTGATTCCGATCCTGTTTCGATTGAAGCCATAAAATCAGTCATTAAAAATTTTATCATTGAATAAAAATACCCCAGTAGCCTTAAAAGCTGATAACTCTTTCCCGGATTTTTCAATAACCAATTTTGACAACCATGTGAGTAATATTTCTTCAGATAACCAAATATAGCTTTATCTAGTCGTTGAATTCGATAACTAGTATGTGGCGGCAAAGACAACAAGATTATATTATTTTCTTTTGTAAATTTAATAGATGCTAAAGAAACATGGCTCTCATTGTTGTCGATGTTTAGTAAAATGGAAGATTCCTTTGTAGGAGTAGTATGTTTGACAAAATGTATCATCCGCTGTTCAAATAATTCTGCTGTCATCCATCCAGATAGTGCAGCACACCCCTGGGAGCCTGTAGGTGCGTTTTTAACCATATAATCTTTAAAAAATTTCCTAGGGAATACTAAAAACGGCGGAATCGAATTACCTTTAGCGTTTATTATATTGCACATAGTTACCAAAGTGCCTCTTTCATTTTAAACTGTATGGCCAATTTTTTTCTGTTCCTTTTTGGCTATTACTTTTCCTGTATCTTGCACAATTGCACAAAACTTGCCTGCCATCTTGTTTTCTTTCCATGAAGTTGGTATTTTTTCCTGAGAGCAATTTCCAAATCATAAGCTAGTTGTCTGGCACCTTTCGGATTGAGACCATGATGAAGCTTCATCGTGAATACCTCATGAAGGTCATCGTCTGTAAATAATTACTTAGTTCTTTTTTCTCGGTTAAAAAAAAAATTGATTGATACCATAATTTGGGGTCAATCTTGGAGCTCCCTCAAGAACATCTGAAGTCCAATCTAGATATATTATTTTTGTTTTCGTTACACTTTTTAAAATATCTCCTAAACGTAGTGCGTGGAATGTCTTATTTTAAAGCAGCAGCCTTTTGTGATAATTCACCTTCCCAAACATCATAAATCACTTTTCTCACATTTTCAACAGTAGTTTTTCCAATACCGGGATTTTTTGGTATTTTCCGTGGCATATTACTATCTGAAACAAAATTATTTTTGATATTTTTTTGCAGAAAGAACAATGACCACTGCTTTTTACAATTCGTATGTAGGAACAATGGCCACCACTTTTTTTTGTCAAAAGCAGTCGCCACTGTTCCTGCATAAGTATGTGACCACTTTAGCAAAAGCTCATTGTTTAGGAGGCATAACCTAAAATCTACTACTTTGAAGATAGATCAGAATTTTCATCACCTGCAAGTTTTAAATACTATACTCGATACCACAAAACAGACAGAACATTTAATATGTATATTATTATTGGTTGAAAAAACTTACCAGCTACTTCTAGACAACACACCTCTCAACAGGTTCGTATACAAAATGGTTCTGCAAACGATGGTGCAGTGGTCCTGCGTAGAAAGCGACTACTGTGACTAAAATTGTTAGCTTTTGCACTAGATAGCGCTTCTGTATCTATCAAACAATAACAAAATATTTAAAAGTGGCCACTGCACCTGACTGGCCACTATTTCAGCCTCTCCCTACCTATTATTTTCCTTTAATTTTCAACATCTTGCAAGATAATTTTGATTTCAACATTTTCGTTTGCGTAAGACTGCTCAGACTTTGTGCTAGATTTGACAAACTGTACATTTTACCAATACAGTACAAAATATTGACATACTATACAAACCTATTCGAAATATTGTTCGGCAAAGTTGTAAAACTAGGATGACGGATATATAATTATAAAAACCACCTGTGATCTTATAAACTGTGGCGTTACAAAAAAGATGGTGGGTATTTTTGTGTATTTTCGTGCAGCACGTATGATCTCAACTGGAACTGAAGTGCTGCGATTTTTTTTACTATGTATCATAAATGTCATTTGCCAAAATCACCTCTATATATATTATATAGAATTTATATTACAAATTTCTGATTTTTTTATATTTTTAGTTATTTATATGGATTGCTATAATGGGGGATAAATACTTGGTTGACTTGAAATTCGAATGGAAGTACGGGACAAACATCACCTGACTCTTGATAGGTTGTTCCGCTTCTATTTTGCAACATCTGTATGGAAATTATTGCATAGAAAATAAATTTGACGTGTTTGCAAAATAAATGTTGTTTTAAGGCAACCAAAATTCGTTATTATCTCATTATTTTTGTGTATTTGGGTGATGTGGTGCATGAAATTAAGTTTTGATCTCTTATTTTTAAACAAGTAATCATTTTGTTGTAAAATGTGGGACATTTTTAAACTCTTAACAAAGTATTGTAACGAAAATGGATTTTTTTATATCCATTACATAATATTCGAGATAATTCAAATAAAAACATCCTATCTACGAATATCACCGGTTAAGATCCCACATAAAGCATTCTATATAATTTGGGTGACCTATCGCCAGTGTTCGAGATCGTATGATTAAGAATAAAGATTAAAAAGGAGAGGTGAAAGAACACAACCCTGTCGTACTCCTTTATCGATTGACAAATTTGATGTAAGATTTCAGTCCTACTCTCACAGATGCCACTTGATTCATATAAAGGTTCTATATGATTTTAACTTTATTCTCATCCTTCGAACGTTTCTGGAGCATCGTATTAATTCTGAATGATTAACACAATCGAACGCTTTCTGGTAAATCTATAAAGCATAGGAAGACATATTTTTGCTGATCTCTGCATTTCTAAAGTAGAACAGTTAAGCTATAAAGTGCTTCTCTTGTGCGAAATCCTTGTCTGAAACCGAACTGTGGGGCTAACGTCTCTTTCACATCTGTTGTACATTCTTGTGTGAATTGTCTTTAAGAAGAGTTTTAGGACCTGGCTCAATAAGCTGATCATTCGGAATTGGTTGCATCTATATTAGCGTTTGGCATTTTTAGGATTGGTATAAAGGCTGATTGAAGCCAATCCTGTGGTATTTGACCGGACCCATAAATGTCATTAAAAAGATCTACCAAGGCGTCTATATTGTCTTCACTCAATATTGTTAGAACCTTTTTAGTTTTCCTATTTGTCTGTTCAACAGTAACTGTTCCTTTCTATCGTAAACAACTTTTCTCTAGTTCCTCATCTAACCAACTGTTTCTTTGGTAGGTGTAAGGTGAAGGTGCATATTACACCTATCGAGCGATACTTCACTTGTCATCGTACCAGTAAGTAGGAAGAAATTTGGGCATCCGAAAGTGTACTAGAATCTTAAACTACAGATACCTCTCCAAGGATATTTTTGGTTGAGGATCTGAATCATCAATAAATAGAAAGAAAACACAATCGTCAATAAATAGGAAGAAAATATGATCACATCACCAATAAATATAAAAAACATCTATTTGCAAAGAAGTGAAGATAAGGTAGATAGAAGAGATTAAAAATATTCAAAAGGAAGCAAGAAAGGATTGTTCTAGCGTTTTAGATTTAAATAAAATGAAAATAGTGGTGGTATTAACAGAAAAACACAACTGCT